TGTAACCCACCTCCAGGTTCCGAGCAATTCTCCTGCCTCAGCCTCCCGACTAGCTGGGACAAAAAATTAACCACCATGCCCGGCTAATTTTGTGTTTTCAGTAGATATGGGGTTTCACCATGTTGCCAGGATGGTCCTCAACTCCTGACCTCAAGTGATCTGCCCCCTCAGCCTCCCAAAGTGCTGGGATTGGAGTGTGAGTCACCACTCCTGTCCTCTAGTGGAGTTTTTTAGAAAAGCCTTGGAAACTAGTTTCTTATCTCGGACATGTAAGGCATGAGCCCCTCTACTTCACACCTTCCTTGTCCTATTTTGGACAAAAGCGGTTTCATCTGGTATCTGCAACTTTCAATAATCCCATTAATTATGCTTTCAGATGAACATAGCATATTCAGGAAAACAATGGTATAAAACAACTTTACCATTCCCTTCTCTGTCAAATTTTCTCCAAAGACAATCATGCTTTAAAAAGCAAATTTCTGGCCAGGCATGCTGGTTCACACCTGTAATCTCCAGCACTTTGGTGAGGCTGAGGCGGGAGGATCATTTGAGGCCAAGAGTTCAAGACCAGCCCAGGCAACATGATAAGACCCCCACCTCTACAAAAAATTAGCTGGGCATGGTGATGCACACCTGTGGTCCTAAGCACTCCACCCCCAGTCTCCAAAAGTGTTGGGATTACCAGCGTAAAGCCACTGCATTAGCTCTAAATACAAATTTATAAAGTCAACTAAATTAAATATTAGAGAATTATCCTTTCCTACTCTGAATATGGGAACACTGTGAACAACTGCTGCACACCAGCAAGAAAAAAAAAAAAAAGAAGTTAATGGATCACGTGCAACAAGAGCTATGATTCAGTGCATGCTTTGGTCACAGAAGAACTCTATCCCAGCCAAAGTGCATTTAAAGTGCTTTGTTATCACTCAAGTTTGGTTTTAGAGGAGACGAATGACTACTCCAATCTCTGGCTTACCCAGTAAAAGACTACAAGCCCTTTGGCCAACTTACATGGGAGCCATCACTTGAGTGAACAAGATTCAGATAAGGAAGCAATAGAAGAGGTTGAGCCCAATTCTGGATACTGATTAGGAGATAATCTGCAGGCAACAGGGATTCATGAATGGCTTTTGAGTCAAAGGGTAACATGGCCATAGCTGTTGTTTATTTTTATTTTTTTAGACGGACTCTTGCTCTGTCACCCAGGCTGGAGTGCGATGGCATGATCTCAGCTCACTGCAACCTCTGCCTCCCTGGTTCAAGTGATTCTTCCGCCTCAGCCTCCCTAGTAGCTAGGATTACAGGCGTGTGCCACCACGCCCAGCTAATTTTTGTATTTTTGTAGAGACGGGGTTTCACCACGTTGGCCAGGCTGGTCTTGAACTCCTGACCTCGTGATCTGCCTGCCTTGGCCTCTCAAAGTGCTGGGATTACAGGCGTGAGCCACCACACCCAGCCTAGCTGTGCTTTAATAACATCATTTGGGAAACAGAAGGTGGACTAGAGGGTAAAAGACAAAGAGCAGGTAGGGAGCTGGATAAGAAGGAAGGTGAAAGGGTCCAGGCATACTATAGTGACAATGACTGAAATATGATTACCTGTGCAACAGTCCTGCTACAGGTGGGAAAACGGAGGAACAATAAAGGAATATTAACAGCACTTTTTATTGTTGTAATGCTTGCAATTTCCAAAGTGCTTCATTTATAACTGTGATTCTCAAGCCTAGTTACATCTGGAGAGGTTTTTAAAAATACCAATTTCTAGGCCGGGCACAGTGGCTCACATCTGTAATCCCAGCACTTTGGGAGGCCGAGGTAGGCGGATCAACTGAGGTCAGGAGTTCAAGATCAGCCTGGTGAACATGGCAAAACCTCGTCTCTACTAAAAATACAGAATTAGCCGGGTGTGGTAGCACGCACCTGTAATCCCAGCTACTGGGGTGGCTGAGGCAGAAGAATCACTTGAACCTGGGAGGCAGAGGTTGCAGTGAGTCGAGATTGTGCCACTGAAGTCTAGCCTGGGTGACAGAGTAAGACTCTGTCTAGGCCTTACCCCAAATCAATTAAATCAGAATGTAAATTCCACAAGGGCAGGAATTTTGGCTGTTTTGTTCACAGTCAGTGCCTGGCACATGCATGGTGCTCAGGAAGTATTTGTTGAATGAATGAATATACCATTATTAACTGAGATCCAAGGAACACACCAAGCTCCTGATCCCAGGAGCTTAGATTTTTTTCACAATAAGGACACCTTTCCTATTTCTAAAGCACTACTTATAAAAATATCTCAAGAAAACAATTAGAAGTTACTCAATGTCTACCGTGAGTGAGGGGGAAAAAAGGTAGGCAGTGTCGCCGGGCGTGGTGGCTCACGCCTGTAATCCCAGCACTTTGGGAGGCCGAGGTGGGCGGATGCCGAGGTGGGCGGATCACGAGGTCAGAAGATCGAGACCATTATGGCTAACACGGTGAAACCCCGTCTCTACTAAAAATACAAAAAATTAGCCGGGCGTGGTGGCGGGCGCCTGTAGTCCCAGCTACTCAGGAGGCTGAGGCAGGAGAATGGCGTGAATCGGGGAGGTGGAGCTTGCAGTGAGCCGAGATGGTGCCACTGCACTACAGCCTGGGCGATAGAGCGTGACTCTGTCTCAAAAAAAAAAAAGGTAGGCAGTGTCTAGTGATGTGACAAGAAGAAATTAGTGGCCATGGGCACAAACAGGCTTAGGCAAGCTCTAACTCCTGTGAAATTTTGAGGTAATCATATTGTAAGGACTCAAACATAATGAGAAAACAACTATATATTAACCAGCTACCCTACCCTGGATGTTTGAACAAAACCCAAAAACCCAAATGCACATACATATGTATTATTTTGTTCTGATACTTCGGGATTACTTTGATATATTTGTTCTGGCTTTGTACAGAGTAATTCTTTGTTTGATATCTGAAAAACAGTGGCACATGGAAATGGATGAAACCTGTTGGGACAAACATCCAAAGGACTTTTTTTTTTTTTTTTTTTGAGACAGAGTGTCGCCCTGTCGCCCAGGCTGGAGTGCAGTGGTGTGATCTCGGCTCACCGCAACAACCTCCAGCTCCCGGGTTCAAATGATTGTCCTGCCTCAGCCTCCGGAGTAGCTGTGATTACAGGCGTGAGCCTGGCCCCAAGGAACTATTTGGATAAGGAGGAGCCCTGAGTTTGTAGAATCATAAAAGTAGCATAGAATCCGGCCGGGCACAGCAGCTCACACCTGTAATCTCAGCAAAGACAGGCAAATCACCAGGTCAGGAGTTTGAGATCAGCCTGCCCATCATAGTGAAACTCTGTCTCTATTAAAAACACAAAAGTTACCTGGGCGTGGTAGCGCATGCCTGTAATCCCAGCTACTCAGATGGCTGAGGCAGGAGAATCCCTTGAACCCAGAAGGCAGAGGCTGCAGTGAGCCAAGACTGCAACACTGCACTTCAGCCTGGGCAACAGAGTGAGACTGTCTCAAAAAAAAAAAAAAAAAAAGTCTCCAGCCATTGTCAAATATGGCGGGAGGGAAAGGGGGGAAAGGGCAAAATCACCCTTGTTTTAGAACCACTACCTTATCCAATGACTGTTCATTCACCCATCACTACTCAAAACTTTCTCTTCGTACTTCCAGATGTTTTCTTGTGGAGAAAAAAAGCCTCTACTCCTCTGGTTTATCTGGCAACTCTCCAGAAAGTCTAATTGTGTAGCACAAGGGTAGAGTGTACTTAAAATTGTAAAAGTTTTTCCTCATACTATTCCAAAAAAAGCAGTTTTTATCTTTTCAGTGGTATTTGATGAAACTAAAACGCTTTCTCCAGATGTTACGAACCTCCCAGAGAGTTAACCCATAAACATTTACCTGATCTCCCACCCCAGGCACTGCGGATTACAGAAAATATCTGACACCCATTTTCCAGATCTGTTCAAGAAGTGTCTGTTGGGCATGGTGGCTCACACTTGTAATCCCATCACTTTGGGAGGTCGAGGTGGGAAGATCACTTGAGGCCAGGAGTTCCAGACCAGCGAGGCCAACATGGTGAAACCCTGCCTCTACTAAAAATAGAAAAAATTAGCCGGGAGTGGGTGGTGCATGCCTGTAGTCTCTGCTACTCGGGAGGCAGAGGCAGGAGAATCGCTTGAACCCAGGAGGCGGAGGTTGCAGTGAGCCGAGATCGCGCCACTGCACTCCAGCCTGGGTGACAGAACGAGACTGTGTCTCAGGACAAAAAAAAAAAAAAGGTGACTCATATAGTTCTTGTTTTTACAACCCGAATATCTGAATTCAGGTAAAATATTCTGCCTGACCAGGGCTACATGATAAGCCACGTACCTGCTCACTTCGCAGGGTCGCAGCACCCTTCTTACTACTATTTAGGCAATATGGGTTTCTGACCGGGAAACCAGCGGAGCTGAGCGGGCTGCAAGAGGGGTGGGTTCAGGATGAGAAGTTGGGATGGGTGACGAAGGAGTAGAGAGTGAATCGTGGCTGAAAAGTAAGGAAAATAACTGTGAAGAAGAGATGACCCAGCTTGAAATAAAGCCTGAAGACCTCACCTCCCACTTGAGAGAGAGAAGCAGCTGAAAGCCATCAGCTTGCACTCTGGGCTCTCAGACAGGGAGCGTGAGGGGTTGAGACCAGATCTACGATTTCACACCCCTGTCTCGGCCCCTAGGCCTGACCATTCATTCAAATTCTCAATAAAAAAGGATTACCAGACACTGCGCAGGGAACACATCTGGGAAAACAGCTGCAACCTCGGAGACCAGAACGGGACAAGCTATCTCTGGGCAATAAGGAACAACTAAAGAGAATCCCAGGAACCAGGTAACCAATCGCCAGAAGCCCTCCGCCCTCATGATCCATTGGGTCAAGGCCCCACTGCCGCCTCGTATCGCCAGCCTCCAGTCCTGCCTCCACGACGCACCCTTCCCCAAGGCTGGCCGGGTCTGGATGTCGCCATCCCCTATTCCGAGCTACAGACCTCGCAGCTGAACTCTTAAAGAGAACCTCCCTTCTTCCTCACGGTGCTGCAGCTCCGTACAATGTACTGAGCCTCGTCAGCCACCGTAGGCGAGATCGCGGCGCGTCCGTGACGTCACTTGTGTGCGCTTCTGCCGCACTAAGGGAAACATGGCTCTATCGCGGCCAGTGAGGCTCTTTTCCCTCGTGGCTCGGTTGATCCTGGCGCCCCGACGAGGTCTCACGGTCCGCAGTCCCGACGAAGCCCTGCCGGTGGTGCGCATTCCAGTGGCTCTACAGCGGCAGTTGGAACAACGGCAGAGCAGGCAGCGGAACCTCCCGAGGCCGGTGCTGGTTCGACCTGGACGGCTGCTGGTCTCGGCGCGGCGGCCGGAGTTCAACCAGCCGGCGCGCCTCACACTGGGTCGTTGGGAGAGCGCGCCGCTAGCCTCTCAAGGCTGGAAGAGTCGACGCGCGCGTCGGGACCATTTCTCCATCGAGCGAGCGCAACAGGAGGCGCCAGCTGTGCAAAAGCTCTCGTCCGAGGGCAACTTTGCTGACCTGGGCCTGGAGCCCCGTGTGCTGCACGCACTACAGGAGGTTGCGCCTGAAGTCGTTCAGCCCACAACCGTGCAGTCTAACACCATCCCCCAACTACTTCGCGGCCGCCACGTCCTTTGCGCCGCAGAAACCGGTAGTGGCAAGACTCTCAGCTACCTCCTGCCGCTGTTTCAACGGCTCATGGTCCAGCCAAGCCTGGACTCCCTTCGTATCCCCGCTCCCCGAGGCCTAGTCCTTGTTCCTTCCCGAGAACTGGCCCAACAGGTGCAGGCTGTGGCCCAACCCTTGGGCCGCTCCTTGGGCCTGCTGGTGCGGGACCTGGAGGGAGGCCACGGCATGCGTAGGATCAGGATGCAATTGTCCAGACAACCTTCAGCAGATGTGCTAGTGGCCACTCCAGGGGCTCTGTGGAAGGCCCTGAAAAGTCGACTGATTAGTCTGGAGCAACTCTCGTTCTTGGTGTTGGATGAGGCAGACACACTGCTGGATGAAAGCTTCCTGGAACTGGTGAACTGCATCTTAGAGAAGAGCCACATAGCAGACGGCCCAGCTGACTTGGAAGACCGCTTCAATCCCAAAGCTCAGTTAGTGCTGGTAGGAGCCACATTTCCCGAAGGTGTAGGCCAGTTGCTGGATAAAGTCGCCAGCCCGGATGCTGTCACCACCATCACCAGCTCCAATCTCCACTGTATCATGCCTCATGTGAAACAGACATTTCTGAGACTGAAGGGAGCAGATAAGGTAGCCGAGCTGGTGCACATTCTCAAGCATCATAACAGAGCAGAAAGGACTGGCCCCTCAGGAACTGTTCTGGTGTTCTGTAATAGCTCCAGCACTGTGAACTGGCTGGGATATATTCTGGATGATCACAAAATCCAACACCTAAGGTTGCAGGGGCAAATGCCAGCCTTAATGAGGGCAGGAATCTTCCAGTCCTTCCAGAAGAGCTCCCGAGACATACTTCTCTGCACAGACATAGCCTCTCGGGGCCTGGACAGCACCGGTGTGGAGCTGGTTGTCAATTATGATTTCCCCCCAACGCTGCAAGATTACATCCACAGAGCAGGGAGAGTGGGCCGTGTGGGGAGCGAGGTTCCAGGCACCGTCATCAGTTTTGTGACCCATCCCTGGGATGTGAGCCTGGTTCAGAAGATTGAGCTGGCGGCTCGCCGAAGGAGAAGTCTTCCAGGACTAGTATCCTCGGTGAAAGAGCCTTTGCCGCAGCAACCTGATTTTGACAAATCTGATTAAAATGTGATGCTAGAACAGGGATATTTCCCAGTATCTTGGGTGGGTGATCACACTTGTAAGTGGGAGGCTGTGGGCTGCCGTCAGCTCCTTGAGGGTAGGATGAACTGCAATGTGACTTGGAAAGGTAAGATGCTAGCCAGCATTGGAGAAGAAGCTGCTGAGCATGGCTTTCTGTAGTCTTTCACAAGACACAAGTGGATTTTGACTTTGTATCATGTCATGATTTCTAACAATAAATGATGTTTTTATGTGCCTCCCCTAAGAATATTTAGCACTGGGGTGGAATTCAGTAGTTTCTGAGGATTCATACCCCAGACTGCCACATCTAGGACAAAGGCTCTTTCAGTTGATGTTTTAATTTATAAACATTGAGTTTTTATTTCCTGCCCCCAAAAAGGTATCCATTAAGCCCCCAGGGAAAGGAAAGGAACTATGACCAGCAGTAGACAGAGTTCTTCACTAACAGCGCTCAAGACAAACGGGCATCTTGGCGAAATCTCTCTGGAAGGTACCGGCAGGAAAGTAAAGGGTAGACTAACACAGAAGTTTTGCTTGTACTTCTATCCCAACTCAGTGGCCGAGAAAGAGGAGAGATGATTAAACTGTTTTACAAAACTGGCAAGATAACCATATAGCATTTTTTTAATATATATATATACAAAAAAATTACAAAAATTAACCCGGCGTGGTGGCACGTGCCTGTAGTCCCAGCTACTCGGGAGGCTGACGCAGGAGAGTCACTTGAACCTGGGAGGCGGAGGGTGCAGTGAGCCAAGATCATACCACTACACTCCAGCCTGGGGGACAGAGCAAGACTCTTATCTTAAAAGAAAAAAGCCGGGTGTGGTGGCTCACACCTGTAATCCCAGCACTTTGGGAGGCTGAGGCGGAAGGATCACCTAAGATCAGGAGTTTAAGACCAGCCTGGCAAACATGGCAAAACCCTATCTCTACTAAAAATACAAAAAAAATTGGCTGAATGTGGTGGTGCACGCCTGAAATCCCAACTACTTGGGGGGCTGAGGCGCAAGAATGGCTTGAACCCGGGAGGCGGAGGTTTCGGTGAGCCAAGACCTGCCACCTCGTGCACCCAGTCTGGGGTGGACAGACGCGCAATACCCCTGTCTCCAAAAAAAAAAAACAATCTGAGCCCCACTCCGGATGGGATTAAAGCCTCTAAAGTGTTGACCTCTGAGAATACTGTCTTGTAAACTCCCTGGGGTGATACTCTGGCCCTCCTAAAATCGATGAAACCATTTGTTACCTGCTGTAACTGCCTTTCCAGAGTCCCAGCAAATTCCTATAAGGCTGTGTACCCCTACAAGACCAGAGGGATGCTCCGGACCAAGTACTCTCTCCAGACGGTTGGAGAATCTGAGTGATGTCTTGCTAGCCTCCCACCAGAACAAACCTTCCAGGAACCGTACCTGTATTTTACCTCCTACCACCTCCCTGCCAGCCGTCTGCTGTAATTAGTACACACTAAAGCAACATATGAAGAAGGTGCTGTGATTCTCAACCAGAGTGACCCAGAACTCCAAAGATCAGGCCGTCTCCTTACCTCCTGGGCATATCCCCTCTACCAAACCACCCCACTAATAAAGGTCCCCATGTTTGTTTTTCAAGGCCCGTAACAGGGAGACCCCTCGTAAAGGTCATCTCTCTCTTTAGTGGAAGTTCTTGCCACACTGAACCCAAGCTGCTCCTAGTATGGGTCCTAATCAGGCTAAGGCAAGTTGCCTGTTCCTTTGAGTAGACCACAATTCACCTTTTTTATATGTAAAAAAATAGACACAAGGTCTAGCTATGTACCCAGGCCTGGTCTCAAACTCCTGGGCTCAAGAGATACTCCTGCCTCCACCTTCCAAAGTGCTAGGATTACAGGCGTGAGCACCATGCCGGGCCCAAATGACCTTTGTTACCTTTTACAGTGCCTGACCTGGGCTGCTGCTGGGGCAACCTCATTCCTTTCCTAGTGGATGAACTGTCCATTGTGGCCCTATTTAAAGAGAGGGCAGTGTAATGAAAAGGTTATGATTTGTATTGTTACTTTTTTTTTTTTTTTTTGAGACAGAGTCTACTTGTCACCCAGGCTGAGTACAGTGGCACAATCTCGGCTCATGCAACCTCGCCTCCCAGGTTCAAGCAATTCTGGGCCTCAGCCTCCTGAGTACTGGATTACCAAGTGCCATCACAACGCGAGCAGTTTTTTATTTTTAGTAGAGAACAGGGTTTTGCCATGTTAGCCAGGCTGGCTGTGAACTCCTGGCCTCAAGGACCCACCTGCCTCCAGCCTCCAAAGGCCGGGATACCGGCGTGACACCAGGCCCTCGCCAGTCATTTTGGCTTCTTTGTCTGAATTTGTTTGAATTTCATGTTAAAATAGGTTCACCTGTAGACGTGGCATCTCACATCTATAATCCCAGCACTTTGGGAGGCCAAGGCAGGAGGATCACTTGAGGCCAGGAGTTCCAGGTTACAGTGAGCTATGATGGTGCCACTGTACTCTAGCCTGGATGACAAAGTGAGACTCTGTTTCTGAAAAAAGAATAAATTTTAAAAATAGAACCATCATGCGCACTTCAGACAGTCATTTGGGAGCCTCATTTTGCCTTAGAGCACATTTAACATACCTCCCAGTGTACATCACCTTTTTTTTTGGAGGGGGGGATGGAGTCTTGCTCTGTCGCCCAGGCTGGAGTGCAGTGGCACGATCTCGGCTCACTGCAAGCTCTAACTCCCAAGTTCACGCCATTCTCCTGCCTCAGCCTCCTGAGTAGCTGGGACTACAGGCGCCCGCCACCACTCTTGGCTAATTTTTTGTATTTTTAGTAGAGACGGGGTTTCACCATGTTAGCCAGGATGATCTCGATCTCCTGACCTCGTGATCCGCCCGCCTCGGCCTCCCAAAGTGCTGGGATTAGAGGCGTGAGCCACCGCGCCCAGCCACACCACCTTTAAATGTAATGAGCTTGTCCTCATTCTTAATAGCTACAAATCTGGAGCTCCAAACGAAGCCCTGCTGACAGAATGCCTCTCTGCTACCTGTATGACCTTGGATAGACCCCTAACCTCTTGGCTTTCTTGAGTCTTAGGTGATAAAAATGTGAGGGTGCTATGAATTTACATTGGGGCAGAACAAAGTCAAGAACAGCCTGTATGTTTTCAGTCTTCTTAACTGGAATGTATTCCCTCTCCTATTGAAACCGCCATTGCAAAATTACAACCAAGACAGTGAAAGAGAGTTGATCTAACCAACTCCATCTTGCTTGTAACCTCCAAGCTGTCCTTGTTCATTCCTGACCATAGGCTGAACTAACTTTGGGAGGAACTTAGTTTATAGTTTATAGTTTAAAACAAAGAAGATAACAGCCCTTTCCCAAAAGAAACCCCCTTTTTGCCTGGGGACTAGACTGCCTTTGTAACAAAATCAGCCAAAAGATTAGAAATTATGGTTTAGGAGTCATGCAGCTAGAGGCTACAGGGTTCTTTTTTCTTTTTCTTTTTTTTTTTTTTTTGAGATGGAGTCACTCTTGTTGCCCATGCTGGAGTGCAAAGGCGCTATCTCGACTCACTGCAACCTCCGCCTCCCGGGTTCAAACAATTCTCCTGCCTCAG